TAATTCCTAATGTCTAAAGCCAACTCAAAAATATTGTATTTGAATTAATATTTTTGATATCATATCTAAACACTGTATAATAAATATGGGCTTCTATGGTACTATATTATGTAATATGGCCGTATTAGCGGCATGAAAGTCCTAAAAATCTAGCAATGCAAAAATTGTTTCAAGAGGCCCATTATCTTAATATTTCTTCAAAAATGGCGTAACGTGGAGAGTAAAGTGGTCAATATGAAGCACCCTTATCGCAAATTATCAAAATATGTAGGGCTATGGCTCGACCTTAATATAGGGTTCTGCACCACTGGGCTATACTATTTAAGATGTTAAAATGTAGACAAAATATTATATCATATATTTTTAAAGAATTAATGATCGTATTATTAACTAATGAAAATTATRTGTTAGAAAGATGAACATTACAAGCTTTCTCAATATCAATGAAGTGTCATGTTTTCACAGTTATTTTCAGGAGCTTAGTAAAACTCCATTCTGCATAGAAACTTAAAATCACAATTTTTTTAATATTTTTTAATATTTTTTTTTGTTTACATAGTAAGGTCTATTAAAAACAATAAAAACACATTTAATATTCTTATCAATTCATACAAATAATCTCTGGGGGGAAACGCTTTGTTCTTTTTTTATTTTAAATCCTTTTAAACGCTTTAAATGTTTATGTATCAAACATTTAAAACAAATCAAATTATTTTAAGAACATGTTTAAAACATTTGCAACCCTGTTTAGAATAATAAACAGTATGATTAGTTAAAACTAACATGTTAATTATATTATGCTTAACATTAAAAGTGCAAACTAAAATTTGCTCTCAATATCTATATCAAATGATAATATAAAATACATGTGTTTATATTATACAACATACCATTATAAAAATCAGCTTGTAGACTTTTGTCACTTATTTCAAATATAACATTGCTTCCCGTCTAAGAACAATACATTTAATAATTTAATTAAGTATTGAATGATTCACTAAG